CGTATTTTCTCCCATCAGCACTTTTTTTTGGCCCAGCTGGAGCAAAGTGTTACCTTTAAAAAGCCCAATCCGGGGCACAAAAGACCATTTTTTATGTGAGAAGTTTCTGCCTGAGACACCTGAAGGGGTGAAGCCTTGTTTTTAAACTTACCTGCCCTTCCTTTGCATATGGATTTGCCTGGATAAACTCGTTTGAAGCAGGACAACAGCTTGCTGGGAAGGTCAGGCTCTTGCTGGTAGCTCTGAGCAGGCTGTTGTTGCTCATGAAAACACTGCTCCTGTGTCCTCCTGCAGCCAAATAAACATGAACATCTGCATTTCCATTTTAATCACGGTATGGATATTAATGGAACTGGGGTGAAAGCTGGGACAAGGCTCCAGCACTCACATCCTCCTGGAAAACTCTCCCCAGGGCCTCTCTCTGAGGGCAGACACTGATGGCTTTGAGAATCTGGGTTCAGAGATCATGTTGAAGGAGTTGTTGGTTTTTTTTCCCCAAACTCACTGATCCATAAAGAACCCGGTGTAGGGTTTCACAGCACACCAGGTGCTCAGGCCAGGAGTGGAGTTTTGGTGAACATGTGAAGGGAAAGTGATTGGAAACCTTGGAAAAGCTGGGGATTGCAACCCAGGTCATGGAATCACGGGATATCCCAAAAGGGAAGGGGCCCAAAAGGATCACCAGCTCAACTCCTGGCCCTGAACAGGACAACCCCAACAATCCCACCATGTGCTGGAGAGTGTTGTCCAAACTGCTGTCCCTCTGCAATTCCCTTTTTCTTCCAAGAGGAAAAGCAGCATCTCTGGGCCTTCCCCCCACATGACCAACAGAAGTTGTGCTAGAGCTCAGGGAGGATGTTATATGGCAAGATCATTAAAATCATGGAATCATGGAACCATTGACATTGGAAAAGAACCCAGAGATCATCAAGCCCAGCCATCGACCCAGCACCATCACCATGTTCACCACCAAATCATGTCCCCACGTGCCACATCCACGTATTTTTTGAACACTTCCAGGGTTGGTGACTCCACCACTGCCCTAAACAGCCTATTCCAGAGCTTAACAGTGAAGAAATTTTTCCTAATGTTCAACTTGACCCTCCCCTGGCATAACCTGAGGCTGTTTCCTCTCATCCTGTCCCTTATTCCCTGGGAGCAGAGCCTGACCCCCTTCTGACTCCCCCCTCCTGTCAGGGAGTTGTAGAGAGGGAGAAGGTCCCCCCTGAGCCTCCTTTTCTCCAGGCTGAGCCCCCCCAGCTCCCTCAGCCTCTCCTTGTGCTCCAGCCCCTTCCCCAGCTCCGTTGCTTCCTCTGGACACACTCCCACCCCTCAGTGTTTCTTGTCCTGAGGGGCCCAAAACTTGCCACCCCTTTGCCTCACAACCAGTTGTGGATAAAAGCCAGTTCCAAGGGCACATGGCTGTGGCGTGGCAGAACCAGCTGACGATTTTCTCTCTGCACAGGCAGCGTTTGACCTTCTCTGTCCCCTGCTGACCACGTTGCCCCTTTTATGCCTCAGCATCACGTGCTGGCTGAGCGTCTGCCCCCTCTGCTACCGCCGCACACACCCCTCACCCCCCAGCACCCACCGACTCCCAGCATCTGTGCCACTTGCTTGGCCTCTTTTTCCTTTATGCTGCTCCCCTCCACCGTCGTGTGACTGCTATTGTGTGGTCCCCGCCACACAAAAGGCAGCCTGACCTAATTTAAATCAGTGCTATTGAAGCCCGGTCTTGTTTTATCTCCCGGCACACAAGGGCTGCGCTCCCCGTTTCAGAGGGAGAAGAAATGAATGGCTAATTGGGGAGGGGGGGGGGGGGGTATTGTGCAAGGCAGCCTTGTCTCCTGGCCCTGATTGTCAGCTCTCCTGCTCCACACAGTGCTCCCAGCTCCCCTCTTGGATCGGGGAGTGGAGGGAGGAAAAGGGGAGAATGGGACTGTGCAGCGTGGCAGGGAAACAAAGCCGAGCACGGCCGAGGCTGGGGGAGGGCTCCTCGCTCGGAAAGGGCAGATGCTGGTGATAATAGAAGGGAATATCCATCCCTCGCCTCCAAACGAGTCCCCCGGTGCTTCTTCTTTTTTCCTGGGTGTTTATGTGACAGTCCTTTCTGGTGCTCTGGGGACTGTCGGTGGGGAGGGGGTGAGGCAGAGGGGGCTCCCACACTCGCAGGGGTTGGAAGTGCTGGGAGCAGAGGGAGTGGGATGAGTCGGGGGCTTGGAGGGGAGACTGAAACGCCGCCAGGCTCTTTGTCCTGCGGGCAAAGTTGGAGCAGTCCCCGACAATGGGTCTTTGTCAGAAAGGCAGGAACATCCTCGGGAGCCATTCCAGCTGGTGGGAAGAGGGAGCTTTGTGTGGGCCCCCAAAGGAGGACCCAGAGCCCACGACCCACCTACACGGTGTGTGCCAAGGTTACCAGAGCCCGGCGCTGCCCGAAGGAGGGATCACCTCGGGATCTGTGTGGGTTTGGGAGGGAACACTGGCAGCACGATGTCTTTCACTGAGTTCCCGCCTCTGCCTCCCACAGGCTCCTTCCAAGAGCCTCCTCCCTGGCGCTGTCTGCTCTGCAGCTCCTTTCCTGGGCTGAAAGAGGTCTGTGGAAGAAAACAAAACCCAAATTTTCATCTTTCCACGAATGGTCTTGGGGCACTTACAGCTCCACTTCCTTCTGCTCGAGGGAGGGGACTTTGTCCCCAGCTATAGATTAGGTTTGTCCCCAGCACTGATGCTCAGTGCAAAGGTTGGAGCCAGTCCTCTCCTGCAGCTCTGGCAGCTGCAGGCAAAAAGAATTTCACTCCAGGGTGTTTAACAACAACACGAAGCAAACAAGCCCCAAGACATCAGGTTTGTTGTGGGCTTGGATGTAACACTAATAATCCTTATCATAAGTCAGATCAGAATAAAGCACTGGCAAGACCTGAAGGTAAATGACACGTGACAACCCTCTGTTTGGCCCCAAATAGAGATCGGCTACAAAACTGTAAAATTAAATTGTAAAATTAAGTGTAGATTTTATTAAGAGCAAGTGTTATTAAAAGTGAGGTTCTTCTTGCTTTCGTCTGATTTTATGATTCATTTCTCCCTTCTAAGCTTTTCTCTGCAGCCAGCAGAGCGTAAAACACACTTCAACCAAGAAAACAACGCAGGAAAAAATAATTCTCGTGTTACCACCTGATTCCAAGGGCTGAGGTCTGACCAAAAAGAGAAGGATTGCCGTGGATGTGTAAATTGTTAACATTGCAGTAAGGTAAAAGAAGAGGAACAAACATATTCCTGGAACCATCTGGGATTGTCAGCTCTTGACTGAGGGTGGGGAGGGACTGGGATGGATTTTCCAGAGAAGCTGTGGCTGCCTCTGGATCCCTGGAAGTGTCCAAGGCCAGGTTGGAGCATCCTGGGCTGGTGGAAGGTGCTCCTGCCCATGGCAGGGGGTGGAACTGGATGAGCTTTGAGGTCCTTCCAACCCAAACCATCCTGGGATTTTCTGATTCCACGATGAGAACAGTCTGACCCGTCAGAGAAGCTTCGTTTACAGGGAGGAGAAACTTCCCCCCACAGCAAGGAGCCCACCAAGGCCTGTCCTTGAGGGCCGTTCCTCATCCAGCCACTGTCCCCTGGGCCGGAGGGATCCCTCTCCCTCCTGAGCATCTCTCCAGGGAGCTCCACTCCCTGTCTCCACTATTCTACCGACATCTGGTGGCAGCTGCTTTAGGGAAAAAAAGACAGCTCTTCAGCGGAGCCCTGCGCCCCCTCAGCGGGAACCTCCCCGCGCGGCCGTGCCCGGAGCCCTGAGGCGCTGCCCGGGGACGCGCAGCTCTGCCACCTCCTGAGGCGAGCGGGGCTGTGGGAGCGCTAATTACTCATTAACGCGAATCGCTGGAGACCCGCGTGGCGTCTCTTGGTGTTTGGGGAGGGTTTTATTTGAGGTTGCCGTGAGAGACACACGCGTCCCCTCAGCCACTGTGGCGGGAAAGAGCAAACATGGGAACCGCCCGGGAAGGTCCCGTACAGCGGGTTTCCGTAGTGTAGCGGTTATCACGTTCGCCTCACACGCGAAAGGTCCCCGGTTCGATCCCGGGCGGAAACACCTGTTTTGCTTTCATGAGGCGCGTTTTTTCAGTTGGTTTGCTCTGCGGGGTTCTTTTATGGTTTGGGTTATTTCCCCGTTTTCTGCTGGGTTTTTTTTTTCTTCTCCTTCTGATTTATTTACTTCCCCGCCGACGGTTCGGGGCCCCCGCCATGAGCTGTAAGAGCACCGTGTGCCCCATCACTGACCAGCGGGGCTCTTCAGGCGGGCGAAAAGCTCGCCCCGCTTGCCAGGGGGTGTCTCGTATCGCTTCGGAATAGGTGAGAAACGGGGGGAAAGAAAAAAAAAATGGGATTAAAACATTGAGCTGCGTTGGCCGGGAATCGAACCCGGGTCAACTGCTTGGAAGGCAGCTATGCTAACCACTATACCACCAACGCTTCTTGTTCTTGTCGTCGCCGGCTTCCCTCAGCAAGCTCGCCCAGCGGGACCCAACCATTCCCCAGGAAGTGGGGGAGAGAAGCGCAGCGAGATGAGAACAGTTCCACAATTGCAATAAATGCTGACATAGGGGCCCATCTCCGAGGCTGGGCGGGGACGAATCTTCCCTCCGTGCTTTTTTGCCCCCCGCCCTCTGTCAGCCTTAATTCTCACTGTGGAGAATTTTAGTCATTGTAATGGGCTGCCCGGAGAGGCGGTGGACTCACGGTCCCCGGAGTTGCTTAAGGACAAGACTTAGCGCCCTGCTCTAGCGGTGTCGGATCATAGGCTAGACTCGACGGCCTCAGAGGTCTTTCCCAACCTCGCGTGTCATTCCGTAAATAGCTCCGCCGTCCCCTCCCTTCCCTTCCCTCACGCACGCAATTGGTTCCTCCCATCTCGTCCCATCCCGCCCATCCCGGGCGCGCTCCCGCCTCCCTCCCTCCCGCGCGCGCTCCCGCCATTTCCGCCGCCGGGTGAAGGGTCGCGCCGTGGCCGCCGCCGCCGCCGCCCCCGCGCCCCCGTTTTTCCGGGGCTGCCCCGCGCCCGGGACATGGAGCGGCACTGACGGACCCGCCGCCGCCCCCTCCTTCCTTCCTCCCTCCCCTGCCCGCCCTCCCTCCCGCAACTGCAGCCGCCCCCCCGCGCCCCCCTCAGCCCGCCCGCCACGGGGAGGTCGCCGCGCCCCGCGGTGAGTGAGCGAGGAGGGGTCTGAGGGGGCCGCGGGGGTACGGGCGGGGCGGGCGGTCCCCGCTCGGTAGGGGTTGTCGCTGTGAGGGCGGGGGGCGCTGAGGCGGGCAGGGAGGGTTTGCCCCCTCCGTGGGCCGCGTCCCCTCCCCGCCCTGGGCTGGGGGTGCCTGAGGGGCCGAGGGGGGGTGTTTGGTTGTATCTTCCCCTCGAGGGGCGGGGGCGGCCTCCCCTTGCCCCCGGGCGGGGAGGTTTTGCTCACTCAGGTACCCCCCGCGCCCCCCCAGGCCTGGCACTAGGGGGGTCGCTGGCAGTTCGGTCCCCCCTCAATATCCCACGCAGGGATGGAGTGATGGAATGGGACTTCCTGCCCTTGAAGGGGGGGTCTGTGTGTGTGTGTGTGAGTGAGTCAGTCCCTGCCCGGGCAGGTGAGGAGCTGCCAGCTCCTCGTTTTCCTCGGGAAAAGAGCTGGGGAGGGGGCCGGGATGCTCCGTCCCCTGGGCTCCCCCGTCTCCTGCTCTCCCGTGTCCCGGCCTTCCCTCTGCACCAAGGGCAGAGCTCCCTCCGAGCTCCCCTCCGAGGGAAGAAGGGCTGCAGAGGGACGCAGCCTCTGCCAGAGCTCCGTCCCTCCCTGGAGAAACCCCCGGCGGTTTATCCCCACCCTCGGCTGCTTTAATTTCTGGAGGAGGAGGTCTCAAAGCTCCCGGTCGCGTCTCTAAGGGCTCCTGTAGGTGACTGTGATCCTTTGGCTCTCCCCGGATGCACCACGGGCCCCTCGGGGTCTCGCTGGCAAAGGAGGGTCGTGATTCACGCCAGGTTTCTGATCCCTCCGTGTCTGTTTGGTTCAGTTTCTTCCTCCCTCCGGGCTCGGGGTGTTATTGTTCCCTCGCTACCTGAAAGGTGTGAGCTGGGCCGGGCAGGATGAGGGTTAAGATGTTGCCCTGAATCATTAAAATCACGGAATAGCTGAGACTGGAAGGACCTCGGGAAGTCTCTGGTCCAACCCCCTGCTCAAGGCAGGGTCAGCTGTGAGATCAGACCAGGTTACTCAGCATTCCTGAGCATCCCTCCCGCTGCCCTTCATGCCTGCATCAAAAATTGCCCTTAAATTACTGGCTGCTGCTGCTGCTTCCTCCCTCTCTGTTCTCCTCTGCAGTTTAGGAGTTTCTTTGTGATGCTTTGTCTCTCCTGATCCCCTGCGAGTGCGGTTTTGGTGGAGAAATGGCTCTTTTGGGAGAGCAGGAGCCTCAACAAAGGGCAGTGGCAGGTCTTGAGTGTGTCTGTGATTCAGAGCTGAAGATCTTTGTACTTCACCACAGCGAAGCACCTTTTTAAGCTCCCGGAAAACAGATTTGTGTGGTGGGCTGGGGCTCCCTGTGGCAGCAGGCTGAGGCAGAGGGAGGCTGCAGTCAGGCTTGGAAGATAAATGTGTTTTTTATGTCCCAGGTGGGACTGTGACCCTCTGGCTGGCTCCTTCTGGTGTGTCCTTTGTTTGACTTTTGCCTCTCAGTGGATGGACCAGACATCTGTTTTCTCCGTTTACTTGCAAGAATGTCAGGATTTTGGGAAGGGAATGACAGAAAGGCTCAGCACTGAGGATTCTTGGATTTTCAGAAGGATTTTCTAGGAAATAAAGAGGCACAGGCCCAGAGTTCAGTGAGGCCCATTGTTCAGGTGAAGAAGTCTCTCAGGTTTATCAGTGCTGTTCATATCCAGCGTGTGCTGGCGGAACAGGTTTGGGCCAAGGATTGAAAACCAAGGATTTATTTGTGCTCAGCTGGAAATGTGACCTATGGAGGATGCTTTTCTACAGCAGTTGTATGAAATTTCCCTTTTCCCTCTTCCTTCCCAGTTTCCTGTCCTGCCCAGCTCTCTGAGTAGTTAATGCAGAAGATAAAGAGGGTTCGTCTGGAAAACGAGACTGCAGGAAGTTGGAGAAGGTACGTGTCCAAGTCCCTCCCAGGGCCTTTATGGTGCTGTGGGACAGAGCAGTGATCACCCCTGGAGGGAATGAGGCTTCTGAAAAACCCCAGCCCTGCCCAGGGAGCTCTGTGTCAGGATCTGTGACTCAGGAAGTGACTCAGGACAATAAATTGTTTCACTGACTCCCAATCCCAAGCTTGACAGTTTTTCCTTGTGCTGATTTCCCACTGTGCTTGCCTGTTCCCTCCAGTCTAACACCTTCCCCCGAAGGAGGGCTTGGATGTCTCGTCCCTCTCACTGGCAGGGCACAAAAGGCATTATTTTAAAGGACCTCCAAGGGGCAGCTCCGTGTTTTTGGGAGTGGGGAGAACAGTGTTCCTGCAACAACCCCGAACCATCTAAACCCTTGCCTCAGCACGAGGGACAGGGGGTTTCCAGCAAGATGCAAATCTCAGATGTGCTGTTGCTGCCTGGTGTCTTGATCCAGCTCACCTTTGTAATCCCCAAACTCACCCTGAGATAAATCACTCCCTTTCCTTGTTTACTTACGTGTACAGTGTTGCCAAATACCTGCTACGTTTTTTCCCGGAGTTTCTTTTTACTCTGTATCATGGCAGGACTTAATTTTAGGTTTGTTTTTTTTTTCCCTTCCAGTGGAAGGTGCCCCTGCCCATGTCAGGGACTTGGAACTAAATGATCTTTAAGGTCCCTTCCAGTCCTAAACCATTCCATGATCCTGTGATTTTATGGGACTCCACCAGGCTCCAGCTGTGCCAGTGGCAATTCCCAACACTTCCACCTCACTTTATCTGGTGGCTGCTTTGCTTATCCCACTACTCCACCCTGTCCTGTTGTCCAAATCTCCAGGATGAGGACAGTCCCAAGCTTAGAGTTGTGCTGTTCACACCATAAAATTGTGGCACTACAGGCTGGAAGGGGCTGCAGGCTCCAGATCAATTTGGGACAGTGACCAATCTCACATTTGTGGACTGGTTTTAGCCCTTAAAGGCTAAACTTTCCCTTGTGAGGAGTCAGCCTGGCTGAGTAAGAGGGATTCATCAGCCTGGTGAGAGCAACCCAAGGGTCCAGCACCTTGAGTCAAAGCCAGATTATTTTAACTGACTGAATTAACCTGCAGTGGGATTGGGTTGGGAGAATTGCACCCAGTTCACGGATTCTAGATGGATTCTAGTGGTCTCCCTGTCTGACAGGCCACACTTCTGCCTTCAGATGTGATCCCAGCTGCTGCAGTGGAGGCCCTGGATGCAGGCAGAGGCCACAGACACACTCACAGCCTTAGAACATCCCGTCACGTTCTCTTTTGTGGTTTCACTCGGGCTTCCTGCCTGGCTTTGATTGGAAAATACTCCTCTGTGTCTGTTTTCAAGCTGTGGGTTTGCTGCTGGGCAGTGGGTACCAGGAGTACCTACAGATTTATTTTGGGAGCTTGTTCTCGTGTTACTATTGGCACATTTTGTACCATTTAGGGACTTGCAGTTTGTGGGGATGTTATATTTGCAGCCCTTGTGCTGCAAATGTGCCTGGAGTTTAAGGAAGTCCTGATGCACTGGGGTGTAGCTTTGCTCATCTCCTGCTGTAATTGCATAAAACCTCAAACTAGGTGAGAAGTTCCTTTTGGAGAGTGTTAGAAGGTGAAAGCTGTGGGGAATCATGGAGTGGTTTGGGTTGGAAGGGGCCTTAAAGCCCATCCAGTTCCACACCCTGCCATGGGCAGGGACACCTTCCACTAGCCCAGGTTGCTCCAACCTGACCTTGGACACTTCCAGGGATGGGGCAGCCAAAGCTTCCCTGGGCAACCTGTGCCAGGGCTTCCCCACCCTCCCAGGGAGGAATTCCTTCCTAATCTCTGATCTATACCTGCTCTCTGTCAGTTTGAAGCCATTCCCCCTTGTCCTGTCACTACAAATAGTCTCTCACCAATCCTCAAGGAACATTCAGGGTTCTCCTGAAAAATGCTCACGGTAGAAAGCGGGCAGAGTGTGTTCTTGTGGTGACAGAAATCACCATCCTGCTCCTTTCCCTTGGTTCTCTCCTGGAAAAGAATTCATTGTGCATCATCCCGAGGCTGGAGTGTTTGAGATTTGGGTTCTGTGTGATTCTTGCTTAATCCTTACCTGTGACAGCTGCACCTCAGAAGTTGTTCTCCTGTCAGTGCAGCCTCAAAGAGAGGCAGCATTCGAAAGCATCTCATTTGGAAATTTAAATCTTGAGTCTGCTGAAGAAAAGGCCTTTTTTTTTTTTTTTTTTGGTGTAATCTTTAGTCCCTGGTTTCCTGCCTTGATTCTGTCTCCCTGGAGCAAATTTCTCCACCCTAATTTTTTTCAGCAAACTGAAGTTCTTCTGAATTTCTTTGTGACATTCTTCCAGGTGCCCCCAAAGCAGCTGAAATGTCCTCATGGAGGGACATCCTGCTTCTCAAATGGGGCATCAGAAACTGGTTTCCCTAGTCCTGGGCTCATTCCTGCTTAGCAGCAGATGACATCACTGACCTTGGGCAAGTCTGTGGGTCCACCTCACCTCAAATTAACATTTGTGTTAATGTGGAGGTGGTTTCTGTCCTCTCCCTCAATACCTGCCAGCTTGGAAGTGTCTGAGGAATGTGTGCCACGTTTTTCAGGATACAGCCAGGGTCTGGTCCTGCTGCCTTCTTCTCTCTGTTAGGAAACCAACTGCACTGTTTTCTTCCTTTTTTCCCATCTCTCCTCCTTCATTCCTGGTATCTCCTCAGTATCTCCTCAGGTAAGTGAGTAGCTGTGCTTGGGTTTCAGTCCCTCTCCCCAGGTGATGAGCAGGTTTTCCTTTGGGACAGGAAGGGGCCTTCACTCCTGTGGTCTCACAGGGCAAGAGTTTATGTGCCTTTATGACAGGTCATGGCTTTGATGACTTATCCATCCGAATTCCTGGAGTGGTTTTCCTTTGAGTCAAGCTGATTGTTTTCTGCACCAGAATCTGCTGCTTGTGCTCATTTCTAGACCCAGTCCTGGGAGAGGAGAGGGAGTTTTCCGAGGTGGATATCTCCATTTACAGGGCTACACCTGGGATGGGAGATGGACTTCTCCTTTCAGTGCGTTTAAAATGCAGTCTTGGAGTGCAGAGAATCCTAGGATCTGCAGTTTAGGAGTGCCTGCTTGATTTTTAAGGCTTAATTCTCTCCCTCAACTCCTCCTCCCTCAGTTTTTTGCCCAGCTCTGAAGGGGAAACGAGGATGACTGCGGTGGACACGCTGTCGGACAGCTCCGAAGTGGTCGAGATGGAGGATGTGCCTTCCCAATTCCAGGTGCAAAAGCATTCTTGGGATGGGCTGCGTGACATAATCCACAGCAGCAGGAAGTACTCGGGCATGATAGTGAACAAAGCTCCCCACGATTTCCAGTTTGTCCGGAAAACGGAGGAGTCCAGCCCGCACTCGCATCGCCTCTATTACCTGGGTAAGCCACTGTGCCAGGAGCAGGGGGGGAATGTGGGCTGGGAGCACTTCCAAGCTAAACAGGCGAGGGAAAGGGTGGGAGGGATCCCCCTTTGTGAAATGGGGGAGCTGAGATTAAGTAACTGGAGGTTTGCAGGATCTATCCCAGAGCAGAGCCCTCCCCGATCCCACACCAGCTTTTGGCTGTGACAGGGGGGAGCGTTGGCTTGGCCAGCCTGCCTTCCTGTGTCCTTGGGCACCCAGGGGATGGGGCAGGAGAAAGGATGTTCCTCAGACTCGGGACTTATCTTCTGCCTGTCTAGCTTGGGAGAAATGGGATTTACTTGCTTCATTAACCAGACTGACTTTCCAAGAAATTCGCTGTCAGTAATTTACTAATTATATGTTGTAACGTATTAATGGCAGGGTGGTGGTGTCTCCTGCTTTATTAAGCGCCATCAAGGTAGAATGCTTTCAAGACTAGGGGAAAAAAATTAGTTGGGAATGAGCTATTACTGGCATTTGCAGGGAAATCTCCCTTTCCTTACAGTAGGGTGGAAAGCAGAATGTGTTGTACAGGTCCCTCGTTACAGCTGGAGCCACAATGTAATTAGTGACAGGTTTTAGTAACTGGATAATTTTGTGGTTGGTAACATGGGAAGCTTTATAGACTATAAAGAGTTTGTTGTGCTTTGGGGCATGAGCTGATCATTACTGGGCCAGTAAAGAAATTGCCTGATGTGCAACTGCTTCCCTGGAGTGACCCTGCTGGTTTTTTTCCTATTTTTCCAGGTTTTGAGTGTAGGTCACTGGAGGACATTGGATGCTGGTTTTGAGGGACGGATTTGTTTTGCCATTAAGCAGCTCCTGTGTGCCAGTGACTTGATTTGTGTTCCTCATAAATTCTTGGGACACAAGTGCTGCTCTGAAGGGCAGTATCCAGAGTTGGCATATTTTTCTTGTTGAGTGTGGACAGCGAGGCTTGATTTAAAGCTGAATGTATTTCAGGTTCACTTTGTTACTGCTTTTCATCTAGATGACTAAAGATCTAAGTGGCTAATTTTAAACTTTTTTTTTAATGTTCTGTTGTATGAAGTGGCAACCAAACCAGCTACTGGTGTTCTGCCAGGGTGTGACTGTTCCAGGAGCCAGAACCAGGAATGAGGATACATGAGTGTCTTTTCAGTGTTCCCTTCCTTAAGGAATTGTGGAGGGCATAGAACAGATTGAGCCATCACTTAAGATCAGTATCAGCCAGGTAATCCCTTCTCAGCTGCTCCCAACAAAGGGGAAATGCTGATTCTTTTGCCATAATGAGCATCTTTTGATGTGTGCTGGGAAATACTCAGAAGCCATTTCAGCACATCAGAGAATCCCAGAATAGTTTGGGTTGGAAGGGACCTTAAAGCTCATCCAGTTCCACTCCCTGCCATGGGCAGGGACACCTCCCACTATCCCAGGTTGCTCCAACCATGTCTTGGATACCTCCAGGGACGGGGCAGCCACAGCTTCTCTGGGCAGCCTATAAGTTCCTAAGTGTTTCACTCAGTGTGCTGTCACTGCCCCAGCATTAAAAAACCATTTTAAAGTTCTTACATGAACACTGTCAGTGACTGTGTGCTGGGGAGTGGGATGGAGAGTCCTGAAGAACTTTCCTGTAGGATTGAACACTTTTCTTCACTTGGAAGCAAAGCCTTTTGGAGGAAGAAGGCAGTGTTTTCCTTGTAAATGCCAATTGATTGTAGTCAGCCTGAGGTCATTGGAGAAAGTTTTCTAACATAAGGAGAAGGGAAGTCCAGGTCACAGTTGCCTGAGTGTCAAACACGTGTGTATAAAGTCATTTGTTCCTCTGTGCAGTTCTCCTGTTTGACCATCTTAAATCATCCCTGGGCCCTCCCCGCGGAGTTTCGTGTTGTCTCATGGCAGATGCTGCTTATGTTAAACACCACATGCTCAGCACTTTGGTGTTCCTGGATCTCTGAGGATTAGATCCTCACATATTGCTTTGCTTCCCGAGCACTTATTAATATTTCAGTTTTAATTTGAAGGAACTGCACTGCTGGGTCAGCCAGCTCCGAAATCTCTCTGTTCTGCCCAGAACATGTGCCGTGTAGGCAGTACCAGGGCACATAGCCCTGTGTGAATTTCTGATCCAGGGAAGTCTCTGCACCAGACGTAGAGGGGCAAGTTCACGGTCTTTGTTTTTGTTGAAACTGCCAAAACCGTGTGTCAGGATATTTTACAGACGTTTGGGGAGTTGGATGAAGGCCAGGAGCTTATTTGATAACCACAGTCAAAGGCTTATGTAAAATGACAAGGTCTTTTGACTCTGTAGGGTACTGTTTCACATTTGAATGGGCTCTCCAGAGCTTCCAAGCTTTTTCTTCCTCTCTTCCAAGCTGCTGCCTTGGCCTGAGCAAGGTCCCTGTAGCGAATTCCTGGATGAGAAACATGGAGAGGGATGTTGAGTCACCCATTTAGGGAGTGGTGCTTTTTTTTGAGTGGATCTGGACAGACACAGAGGGGAAAGTCGGACCTAATAATTTCTGTGGAGGTTGGTTAGTGTTAAATCTCGCTCAGGGAAAATTCCAAGTGCATGAATATCTAAATTTAAATAGTTCAGATGTTATTCTGGGATTGAACTGGGAGCTGCTTGGCAATGAACGTGGGTAAAAGCCTCTGGGCAGCCCCAACCCCTCTGTTACCAGACTTTTGTTTCAATTTGCTCTGGGTGCTCTTTGTCCTGGCTAACTAATCTAAAGCAGGATGATGCTTTTGCCCTCCTCATAGGAATGCCATATGGTAGCAGAGAGAATTCCCTTCTTTACTCAGAGATTCCCAAAAAGGTACGGAAGGAGGCCTTGCTGCTCCTGTCCTGGAAGCAGATGCTGGACCACTTTCAGGTGAGTGGAATTGTGAGGAAGAGCCTGGGTTGTCAGTGCTTGGGGAAACTGGGTGTTGCTGTGGTGGGTGCATCTGTCTGCTGTCTGTCATCCCTCCCGCTTTTAAAAAGTTGGGAAAGTTGAGTTTAAATTGCTGCTTTTGCCCTACACTCCGTTGTGAGTCGGAAATTTTCTCCTCCCTGATTTCGGTATCTTAATGTCCTGTGTCACTAAAAACACTGCTGCAGAGAGTGCTGGGGCTGCTCTTTCTTCCCTGCTAAAAAGGTTCCTGGTGGAAAAGGATTTGGCTGTCTTGACCTTGTTTGGGCTGCTGGTCCTCCTCAGGGAAATTCAAGATCCCCGGAAGAGCTTTTGTTTGCAGTGTCTGACATGGAAACTGTTTGTGAAGGCTGTAGATAACGTCATTAAGTTAATTGGTTACATCTGATTTGCATAAGCAGAGCAAGTGTAGCTCTTCTCAGTTCGTGCTGAAGTGCCAGCTGCAGAAATGAGGGATTCAGAGTTCATCTCTCCTGTGGAGGGAAATTTGGGGGGTGGGGGTGGTTTAGACCTCCTGGACCCCTCACCTGGAGTACAGGAATTGTGGACCTGGACAGTGAAACTGCTGCCTGGTTTGGGCTGGTGTGATGTGTTTTGGCCAGTCTTGGAGTGTTTCTGTTCTGTGGAGGTTTCTCTCCTTGCAGATTCTTTCAGATTTTTCCTTACCTTCGATTCTAGGCAACCCCCCACCACGGGATGTATTCCAGAGAGGAGGAACTCTTGAGGGAACGCAAGCGGCTCGGGGTCTTTGGGATAACATCTTATGATTTCCACAGTGAGAGTGGCCTGTTCCTCTTCCAGGCCAGCAACAGCCTCTTCCACTGTCGAGATGGGGGCAAGAATGGATTCATGGTGAGCCTGCTGGGAATTCTGGGAATGTCACCTGGAAGGGACTTTGTGCTTTGGGTTGGAGATGGCTCCACATGGAATCACAGACTGGATTAGGTTGGATAGGACCTTGAAACTCATCCCATTCCAGCCCCCTGCCACGGGTAGGGACACCTCCCACTAGCCCAGGTTGCTCCAAGCCCTGTCCAACCTGACCTTGAACACTTCCAGGGATCCAGGGGCAGCCACAGCTCCTCTGCCCAACCTGTGCCAGGGCCTCCCCACCCTCCCAGGTGATATCCCATCTAGCCCTGCCCTCTGGCAGTGGGAAGCCATTCCCTCTTGTCCTGTCCCTCCATCCCTTGTCCTAAGTCCCTCTCCAGCTCTTCTGGAGCCCCTTTAGGCCCTGGAAAGGGTTCTAAGATCTCCCTGGATCCTTCTCTTCTCCAGGCTGAACAATCCCAGCTCTCCCAGCCTGGCTGCAGAGCAGAGGGGCTCCAGCCCTCAGAGCATCTCTGTGGCCTCCTCTGGCCCTGCTCTAACAGGTCCACATCTTTCACATCAGCATCTCTTTGGTTCTGGTGGTTTCTCCTGTGTCCTGTCAGGGCCGTGTTTACCATCACTCCACGGGCTGTGCTGTGTCTGTTGCTGCAGGTGTCTCCAATGAAGCCTCTGGAGATCAAGACTCAGTGCACGGGGCCACGGATGGATCCCAAAATCTGCCCTGCTGACCCAGCCTTCTTTTCATTCATCAACAACAACGATCTGTGGGTGGCAAACATCGAGACTGGCGAGGAGAAGAGGATGACATACTGCCATAAAGGTAACTGCTGCTTCCTGCCAGGTCCAAAAGCAAATTCCTTCTGAGAAATGCGGCCTGGAAAGACTTTTTATGGCTTATTAAGTCTCTTCTTCCTTTGGATCAGCTTTTTCCAAGGAGATGTAAATGCAAATGCTCTGTCTCCTGTTTTTCCCTCCAGGCTTATCCAATGTCCTTGATGACCCCAAGTCTGCTGGTGTAGCCACTTTTGTCATTCAGGAGGAGTTTGATCGGTTCACGGGCTATTGGTGGTGTCCCACAGCTTCCACAGAAGGTCAGTCCGTGTTCTGCTCATCCAATCCCCACCCTGGGACTGCTGCCTCCTGCCAGGAATGATATTTTGAGCACAGGTTTCCTTTGGCCTGGGTTTGAGCCCTTTCTGGACTGAGGGAATGAGACACTGAGGGGATTATAATGGTGCTCAGAGGAGTCACTGAGAGCTGTGGCTCTGCAGGTTTTCCCTCTGCACCAGGGCTCCAGGCAAGCCAGAAACAGCTGGAAAACACTGTGGGGAACATTCTTGCTCTCTGTCCCAGGTCCAGAGGACTTGAAAACACTGCGGATCTTGTATGAGGAAGTGGATGAGTCAGAGGTGGAGATAATTCACGTTCCTTCACCTGCCTTGGAGGAGAGAAAAACAGACTCCTATCGATACCCCAGGACAGGTGAGGGAAACACCTGATGCAGCTCTTGACTCCCACTGGCAGCAGCCGTGGAATTGGTGCTGTAAACTTTGCATGATTAATCTGGGGCCTTGTGTAAAAACTGGTTGTAAATGCTGGGGCCTAATTGAGTCTCTGAGGCCGAAACCTACAGCAAGAAAGGACCAGGATTTAAAGTTGGGCCTAAATGAAAGGATTGCTGAGGAAATGGGATGTGTCTGGTGGCATACCCTGGAATACATTTGGAATCCCATCTTTCCTCACTCTTCTGAGAACATGCACAGCAAGGCAAAGCAAACTGTTCCCATTCCCATAATGACTCTGTGATGCCAGTGGTGTTTGCTCACTTACATATTTGATATTTGTACATTCACACCCCCCCATTTTGGCAGGACCAGGGGCAGTTCCTCTCTAGAAGCTGTGTTTTGTATAATCATGGAGTGTTCAGGTTGATCATCTTGGTGGTTTTTTTTTTTTTTCACTTCTCTGCAGGCAGCAAAAACCCCAAGATTACATTAAAACTGGCAGAATTTAAAACAGACAGCAAGGGAAAGGTAAGTGATGACAACTCGTGATGGGGACATTGCACAGGAGGGTTGACTGTTTCTGAAGCTCCTTAGAATTAAAGCAAGGTCACTAAGAGATCCTAGATAGTGTTAGTCTGGTTTTTTTTAATCCTCTAGTAACACCTGTTTCTCTAATGTGTTTATCCAAGGAACAGAAAGACTTGAAAATACTCTGGTGGAGATTCAGCTGGGAGCAGGGAGGGAAGCGGGGTTATCCTGGTGCTCCACATTGTCCATGTTAAGCAGGAGGGCTGCAGCCTGATCTAATCGTGGGCTTCAGTCCCTGCCTGTGTCCTTTCCTGTGGCTGAATGCCAAAATCATTTTGCTTTGAAGCCTGGTTTTTTTTCCCTTCTCTTCCTGCTGTTCGTAGCAAGCCTTGCTTCTCCCGGCCTGACCCTTACTGGTTAAACCAGGCCAGTGGTTAAACTTCTGTGCTCTCCCACCTCCCTGGGCTCCCCCAGGAGGAGGTGAGGAGCTCTGATAGCAGCATAAATTTGGTGTTGGCCCTTCCTCTCGCTGCAGATCGTGTGTGCTCAGGACAAGGAGCTGGTGCAACCCTTTGCTGCGTTGTTTCCCACCGTGGAGTACATCGCCCGCGCTGGATGGACCCGGGATGGCAAATAGTATGTCCCTTTTCCTTCCAAACTAACATTCCCAAGGGCTTCTCTGGTTGCAGACCCTCGACATGCTTTGCAGTGTAGTCATGGCCTGGTTTTAAAGCCAGAAATGGCACGTGAATATTTGGCTTCTTCGGTGCTGTAACATCCTAAGAGTAGGAGTGAAGCAAAGGAAGAGCAGAGTGACAGTCTGTGGGGTTTGTCACAGCCACAGAGGTAAATGTGATTCATTAGGTGGGCAGTCCTAGGGGATTCTTTTGAGTTGAAGATGTTTCACACAACTACAACATGTTTTTCCTGCAAATGGAAATGTACTGGAAGCAGTTTTATCTTTGCTCATTGGTCCAGTTTGTGATCAAAGCCAAATGTATCACAGGACAGCAGGCAGGTTCTGTGGTGCCATGTCCTTTCTGTAGTGTGTACAAGGGGAAGGATTGCTCTGGGACTGGCTGTTGCTCCAAATGGGATGCACAGCCTTGCCTGAAGAGTTACAGAATTCACCCCAATCTGACTGGTTTGAGATTTTAAAGCTCTGAATTTTTTCCCCCTCAAAAGCCTGCTCGGCTGCTAACCGGTGTCTGTGCAGATCAAGTTAAGGTGACTTGGCTGTCTTTGAAGGTGGCATTTTGTAACTCATCATTAATTTTCTGCTCTGGGAAGGAAATTCAGAGAGCTTTCCAGCAGGTAATCCCGGAGGTGATTGTGGTGTTCTGCACCAGAGCTTATCTAAATGTGCTGAATGTCTCAGTTCCCGAAATCTGCGGTGCTGGGGAAGAACTGGCTCTTTTCAAAGCCTGTCTTTAATGATGAGACTTCCCTTGATGCACTTCCAGGCTCCAGGGTGGCCTCACTGTGCAGTGGTGGTTTGCCATCTGTCATGTTGAGAGCCTGCAGTGCAGCACCACTTCCAGGGACTCTCCTCAGAGAGGAACAAGGCTGAGACTGGAGTGACTCCTTCACCTGGCACTTGGCTTTAGGTCTGTGCCTTTCCCTGTCAGTGCAGCAAATGGATCACTTTGAGAGGGATCACCTCAAAGCTGGCACACAAACAGAGCTTCATAGAATCACAGAATCAGCTGGGTTGGAAGGGACCTCTGAGATCATCAATCCAACCCTTGATCCAACCCCGCTGTGGTTCCCAGCCCAGGGCACTGATGCCACATCCAGTCTCAGCTTAAAAACCTCCAGGGATGGAGAATCCACCCCTTCCCTGGGCAGCCCATTCCAATGTCTGAGCACCCTCTCTGGAAAGAAATTCTTCCTGATATCCAACCTAACCCTCCCCTGGCACAGCTTCAGACCCAGCCCTCTTGTCTTGCTGATGGTTGCCTGGGAAAAGAGACCAACCCCCACCTACTGTCCAAGGAATCACTTCAGAGCTGGGACACAAACAGACCTTCCTGCTGGAGGGGCTGTCCAGGCAGGAGTTGTGTTCTGGAGGCAGGGCACTCTTCGAGGTGCTCCCTTGGAACAGGCACTGGCAAATCTGTCAGACACTTGTCTGAGCGACACCCCTGTGAAATACCAGAGCTGTCTGGCACTGTGTGTGTGTGTTGGCAAAGCTTCCAAGGGATTAGAAAGCAGCAGTGATGAGAAAAGCTTTGCATTCAGATGCCCAAATCCTTTTTTGCCAGCGAGGGGAGGGGGATGCATGTTGGGAGTGTTAGAAAGGGCCATCTATTCTGTGGTGCTGACATTCACCTCCAACTTCTCTCCCCAGTGCCTGGGCTATGTTCCTAGACAGACCTCAGCAGCGGATGCAGCTAATCCTTTTGCCTCCAGCACTCTTTATTCCAGTCCCAGAAAACGAGGAGCAGCGTGCTGAATTTGCCAAAACTGTGCCAGAAAATGTCCAGCCATTTGTGATCTATGAAGAAACCACTGATGTGTGGATAAATGTAAGAGGCTCGGGGCTGGGAGGAGAACACAGGCTGCCCCTTCCTGCCCTTCAGTTAACCATTCTCATGTTGCCTGGGTGTCCAGTTTAGTCCTGGCTCCAGCAGCTTTGCTACTCAGTAGTCCCAGATGTGATGTTAATTCAGGGCTTTAATAAAGCCATGAGAAGGAATTCCTTGCACTCAGCACTGGAAGAGACAAGGATCCTGCCATCTCCTTGCAGTTGATACTGTTCATTTAATTCCTTCCAACATTCTGGTGAACACAGGCACTTTTGCACATTTTTGCACATTTACATTTTTTGAGATGTAAGAGTGCTGTGCTTTTTGGGGTGTTTTATGACAAGATTAAACGGCTTCTTGAAGCATCAACAACCCTAATCCCTGGAATTTGTTGTAGTTATTTAGGTGGGTGATAGACATGGGGGGCAGGGAGTAAACTTCAGCCTCAAAGCATTTTGGTCCTGAGTGATGAAGGGGCCTGAATTTCACACCAGGGCATTCCCAAGGTGTTGGAATAGCAACTTGTGTGGCTGAAATATCAGAGGCAAGGCTGGTGCTGGTTTTGGTGGCAGCCATGGGAAGCCCAGAGCACATGATCTCTACAGGGGCCCAGAGTTTCTCTGTGGTAGTAGGAAAGCTTGGAATAGCTTTTCCCTGCTTTTATCCCCCCTCCTTTCCGTGGGAATCCCAGCAGTTCAGCGTGGCCTCCCCTGGCTTTATCCCTGCTGTCTCCCTCCAAATCACTCACAGGTTTTTCACCTTGTGTGGCAGGTCCACGACATCTTCTACCCCTTCATCCAGCCAGAGGGGGAGGAGGAAGAGCTCTGCTTCATCCGAGCCAACGAGTGCAAGACAGGTTTCTGTCACCTGTACAGGGTGACAGCCATCCTGAAGCCAGGCAGCCACGACTGGGTGCAGCCATATGTCCACAGTGAGGGTAAGGAGCAGCAGGAGCTCCCTCCCTGACTGCCCTGTGTTGTCTTTTGGGGAGGGAGGGCAGTGATTTCTTCTCCTGTTCTTCCTTCCAGACGATTTCAAGTGTCCCATCAAGGAGGAGGTTGCCCTGACTGGTGGGGAGTGGGAGGTGCTGGCAAGGCATGGATCCAAGGTAGGGGATGTTTTTATTCCCTTGCAGTGTTTCAGCTCTGTGTTGTCTGCCCCCAGGCCTGGCCTGAGTCCTCTGGTCCGCCTGGGACATGCTAGAACTGCTTAGGCTTCATTTTGTTCCTCTCTTTATTGCTGCCTCTGCTTTCCCCAGAAGTGCTGTAGGCCAGTGCACATGGATCTGATTGCCTTTTTAATCAGACTTTGGATTGCTCCTTGGGAAAATCCCAGGAGTGGGTCAGGCCATAAAAAAGGACACGAGTCTGAGGTTTAAGAGCAACAAAGAACCATTTTGTGGAGGAGCCTGGGATTGCTGCCTTTTGCTGAGGCATTTTAACTCCAGCGAGTGCCTGCAATGTGGAAATGTGTCCTGGCACTCGGAGTGAACTCTTGGTCTCCAGCTGCTCCCTCAGCAGAGCCTTTAGGAAGAAGGCAGCTGGGGAATATAAAGCAATTTAGAATATGGAGAAACTGTATCTGTTGTCGGTTGCAGAACAGCCAGAAATGAATTTTTATTAATCTTGTAGAAACCTAGTTTCATTTTTTGCTTCAGGAATTAACTCCGGGTCTGATCTTTAACGCTCCCAGGTGATTTGTGTCAAAATAAAGACCTTGTCTGTTCATTTCCAATTAATCTGGATTTTCACTTCTCGCTTTTTAAAAGACCAACAGCTCCAAGCGTTTGGTTTCTGCTGCTTTTCCTCAATCTGCAATTAACCTGCTGTCCCTCCCCATGTGGATTCTCACTGTACATGCTGTTGATTTTGGCCACAGCTCTTCCCTGCATGTGTTATGGCTAAAATTGTGTTAGCAGCAATTATTTTGATGCATTTGTTGCTCCACAGGGCTCTGCCTGGTTTTCCTGGCCAATTGAGCTGGATATTTTTTTCCCTTTGCTGTTCACAGGGGTCTTCAAACTGTGGGTTAGCCAGAAATAGCATTTGGAAACTGTAAGGTGGAAAATAGTTCAGTCACTGTTGCTGGATCAATGCAGTATTTAAAAGCTGTTGTCTCTGTTCCTGGGTGGTTTTTAGAATTAGCTTTCTCTGGACAGTAAAAACCTGTTTAAAATGTGTCCTAAAGTTTGGTGCTGATGGCTCTTGGACTGGTCCTTCCACAAATGAGAATTCATGATGGCTGGGAAAAATATACCTGTACCCTTATAATCCTCTGGGAGGAGGTTGGAGCCAGGTGGGGGGTCTCTTCTCCCAGGTGACAAGTGACAGGACAAGAGGAAACAGCCTCACATTGTACCAAGGGAGGGTTTAGATTGGAAATCAGGGAAAATGGCTTCACTGGAAGGGTTGTCAGGCACTGGAACTGGAGTCACCACCCCAGGAAGTGTTGAAAAAAACACGTGGATGTGACACTTGGGGACGTGCTTTGGTGGTGCTGAGTTAGTGGTTGGACCCATTGATCCTGGAGGGATTTTCCAGCCTGAATGATTCCATGATTCTGTAAGATGCCATATTTAAGCACAGCATCTTCCTCGTGTCACCAGCGGGGGACAAAGCCCAGCTTTTTGTGCTCATTAATAAGCAAATGCTTTGAGTCTTAAAAAGAAAAAATAAATAAAAGCTGCAGGGCTGTGTTTTGTCCCTGCATTGGATTGTGGGAGTTCTCCAAGTGCTCTGTGTGTGTTCTCTGACCCCTCACACCCCCTGAGCAACCCAAAACCCTGTCATGGTGTGTGCTCTGAGCTGACTCTGCCCCCGGGCAGACCCTCTGGGCAGGCAGAGGAGCAGAGCTTGTCACCCACGTGTCCCTGAGCCCTCTCTGTCCCTCACAGATCTGGGTCAACGAGGCCACAAAGCTGGTGTACTTCCAAGGCACGAAGGACACCCCTCTGGAGCACCACCTCTACGTGGTCAGCTACGAGTCCCCTGGGGAAATCATGAGACTCACCACTCCAGGCTTCTCCCACAGCTGTTCCATGAGCCAGGTTGGTTGTTCCTTGGATTCTCACCTCCTGACTGCCAGGGACCCAACTGGAGATGAACCAGTAACGAGTCCTGGGGGCTGCTGGAGACGTGGGAGCTCTTGTCTGAGGAGATGAGCTGCGGGAGGGGCAAGACCTCGTTGCCCTAACTCTTGTCTCTCCCGTGCCAGAACTTTGACATGTTCATCAGCCACTACAGCAGTGTGAGCACTCCACCCTGTGTGCACATCTACAAGCTCAGCGGCCCCGACGACGACCCGCTCCACAAGCAGCCCAAATTCTGGGCCAGCATGATGGAGGCAGCCAGTAAGTCCTGGAGAACGTGCCAGAGACTCTTTTTCCAGCAGGGATGGGGAGGGAATTGGCCTGAGTGGCTTCACTCTGAAGGGAAGAGGAGTTGTGGTATCGTGTGGGGGAGATGTCTCACGGACAGCTCGCCCAGGAAATGCTCTGTGGGCTTTTGAGGTGTTGCTGTTCCACACTTGGAGCAAAAACAGTGCTCAGGGATGCAGGGTTTGCACACCCTCAGAGCTGTGGGTTTGCCATGGAATCACAGACTGGTTTGGTTTGGGAGGGACCTCTAAGTTCATCCATGGGCAGGGACACCTCCCATTAGACCAGTTGCTCCAAGCCCTGTCCAACCAACTTCCAGGTTGGTTTTTCATCCATGGTTTGCCTGAAGAGGGAAGGGACGAGTGTCTGGGATGCAGTGGCTGCTCTATTCTGCACTGTGGGCTTTGAAGGTTTAGATACAGCTCAAAGCAGCACCTGAACCCCTCCTGCAAATGTTTTTTTTCCATCCATGTTCTTAACTCCCACACCTTGCTGTTGTGGCACAGAGTTCCTTGTTGGAGAATTCCCAGCAGCTTTTCCTGTGGGATCCCTTCTTTATCTCCCTGGGCAGGCAGGTGGGGGCTCTGTGTTTCCCAGAGAGGGGCTTTGGTGTGGTTTGGTATTGAAAGAGCCCTGACCAGGGTCAGGTTTGAACAGAAGGAGCTTGTTCAGGTGGGATGGGAGGCAGAACCTGCCATCACCTTCCTGCTGCAGGTTGTCCCCCGGATTACGTCCCTCCGGAGATCTTTCACTTCCGCACTCAGTCGGATGTTGAGCTCTATGGAATGGTCTACAAACCTCACGATGTCCAGCCTGGGAAGAAGCATCCCACGGTGCTCTTTGTGTATGGAGGCCCCCAGGTAATGATCCAGGGGGGCTGCTGTGCCAGGGATGGGGTTGCTGCCCAGGGCAGGGCTCTGTGGCTCGGTCGTGCATCACGACTTGCACTGTGGTTTATGAGCACTATTGTAGAATCATGGAAGGGTTTGGGTTGGAAAGGATCTTAAAGATCATCCATTCCAACCCCCTGTCATGGGCAGGGATGCCTTCCACTAGACCAGGTTGCTCCAAACCCCCTCCAACCTGGCCTTGAACACTTCCAGGGATGGGATATCCACAGCTCTGGGCAACCTGTGCCAGGGCCTCTCCACTCTCACAGGCAAAGAACTGCCTCCTAATACCTAATCTAAACCCACTCTCTTTTAGTTTAGCCCTGTGTTCCGACCTCTGCTTCAAACCTCAGATGATTTTTCCAGCATTTGTTTTGATTTCCATGGCTCTGATAGCTCAATTACCAGCTCAGGACCCTACGGAGCAGGGCAGACACGGGAAGGTACTGGGAGGCAACTGCTCAGCTCTGAAACTCTTTCTTGCCTCCTTGTGCAGGTGCAGCTGGTGAATAATTCCTTCAAAGGCATCAAGTACCTGAGGCTGAACACGTTGGCATCCCTGGGCTATGCTGTGGTGGTGATTGATGGCAGGGGATCGTGCCAGCGAGGACTCAAATTCGAAGGGGCCCTAAAAAACCAAATGGTAACGTCCTGCTTGTGCCGATGAATCTCTGACCATTTGTCCTTCCTAAGGGTGTTGGCTGCTTGTGTGAGGTTTCTAGATTTAGGAATGCCACTAACATGGGCCTCCTTTTGTTGCCTTTTAGGGTCAGGTGGAGATAGAGGACCAGGTGGAAGGTTTACATTATGTAGCAGAAAAATACGGGTTCATCGACTTGAGCCGGGTCGCCATCCACGGCTGGTCCTACGGGGGGTTTCTGTCCCTCATGGGGCTCATCTGTAAACCCAATGTCTTCAAGGTGAGTCTGGACACGGGGTTGTCACTGTGGGACTCTTGGCTCTCACAGCTTTTGTCACTCCTGGCAGCTGGAGTTGGATTTTGGGCTTGTTTCGAATGGACAGGTGGAAATGTCCCTCAGTCCTGCTGGCTGCAGCCTTGGATCCTGATAAAGCTTACACCTGGCTGGGGCTGGAGGAGGATGGCACTGGGATGGGCTCCTTCCCCAGGGACTGCCTGTAGCTCCTGGCTGTAGTCCTGTATCCTGCTCCAGCTCACACCTGGCTGGGGCTGGAGGAGGATGGCTCTGGGATGGGCTCCTTCCCCGGTGCCTGCCAGTGGAGGGCTTGGCCTAGCATCCAGTGAGATAACTGCTGTGCTATTCCCAGTCCCCTTCCCCAGTCCATCATCCCACAAGTCCTCCTTGAAAAGGAGCAGCCTGTAGTGCTGGTGTGCAGGAATTTGCCCCGTTGTGACCATGAGAGGGAACAGCAGTAGGAGGAACCTGGGCTTTACGTGGCTGAAGGAGAATCCCGCTCTGAGCGACAGGGCAGTCCAGAGCCTGCTTTTTCCTGCCTCTTCAGGAAAACAGGGAACACTTGAACTCTTCAGCAGGTGATAACTGAGGCTGTCTCCTGTCTCCCTGTGTGCCAGATTGCCATAGCAGGTGCTCCTGTCACAGTGTGGATGGCCTACGACACCGGCTACACCGAGCGGTACATGGACATCCCGGAGAACAACCAGCAGGGCTACGAGGCTGGCTCTGTGGCATTACACGTGGAAAAGCTTCCCAACGAGTGAGTGCCCGCTCAAAACCTGCCCCTGGGTCCTGCTGGGTGCCACCACTGGCACCTCTGCTCAATCCCAAAGGAATGGGTGGGTTCTGATCCCGTTTTAAGTCCCGGTGCCGGTCGCTGCCGTCGGCAGCAGCTGGGCCATGGCACTGCCAGCCCCCTCTGCCAGGAAGGGGTTGAAGCCCATGGCCATGGCCTGGCACTGCTCTTGCTCAGTTTTAGCTTGCCCAGCTGGCAGCTCTTTGCTCAGACCCTCTGAAGAGCTTTTAGGTGGTTTCCCAAACTTGTCCTCATCCTGTTCCTCCTCCTGTTCCTCACCCCATCTCCAGGCCAAACCGTTTGCTGATCCTCCATGGCTTTTTGGATGAAAATGTGCACTTTTTTCACACCAACTTCCTGGTATCGCAGCTAATCCGGGCTGGAAAACCTTACCAGCTGCAGGTAGGAGGGACAGGAGTGGAGTGGGAAGGTCCCATAAACCTGGAAGAGTTCTCTGCTGTGTGTGTTCCTGGGGCAGGAGGAGGTGGGGGCAGGTGCTCCCACATCCTGTTGTGATGTTGGTGGCAATCAGCACCTCGTTGGAGGCCGGGAGGTGGCACTGTGGCCGTTCCATCACTGCCAGATGTGGCACGTGCAGGCAGGGCTGCTGCCCTGGGCCTGGAACTTTCCTTCTCCACGAGCTGTTGCTGTCCCACTTGGCTGGTGGCAGCAGAGGTGGCTGCAGTGAGGGAGAGTTGGTGCTCCAGACTTTTCCTGACACCTCTTTGTCCTGATGGAGACTGAGTTGAGGGAACAGGGCTGAGGTGAGGGAGAGTTGGTGCTCCAGACTTTTCCTGACACCTCTTTGTCCTGATGGAGACTGAGTTGAGGGAACAGGGCTCCAATGAGGGAGGGGTTGGTGCTCCAGACTTTCCCTGGCACATCTTTGTCCTATTGGAGACTGAGCTGAGGGAACAGGGCTCCAATGAGGGAAGGGTTGGTGCTCCAGACCTTCCTTGTCACCTCTTTGTCCTGATGAAGACTGGGTCGAGGGAGCAGGGCTGATGTGAGGGAGTTTTGTCCCTGCTGAGTGACCGAGTGCCCTGTGTCTGCCCCTGCACAGATCTACCCCAACGAGAGACACAGTATTCGGTGCCCTGAGTCAGGAGAGCACTACGAAATCACGCTGCTGCACTTTCTACAAGAATACCTCTGAGAGCACGAGCCTCTGCAAACTGGACACTGACAGCTCACCCCCACTCCTGTGCCCTCCTGCCCCCGACAGCCGTCGAACCCAGAGCACAAGTGGCCGAGTGCCCACGGCGGGCTGGGTGTCCCCCCGCGCGAGGGGAAGGCTGGAGGGCACCTTCCCTTCCTGGACAGTGCCACCTTCTCTCACTTTCCAAGCTGGAGGTCTGCCCCTGCTCGGCTGCTCGTCCTCTTCCTCTCCTCCAGCCTGGCTGTTCAATGCTTTTTTTGCTGCTACTCCCTCTCTCCTGGGAATCAATGGACAGTGGTCTGTCTCCCGAGGCTGAGGTTTGTGCCCATCTCTCTCTCTCTCTCTCTCTCTCTCTCCCCGCCAATCCTTCTCCCCCTTTTCCACTGCCCCTGAGCAGTTCCCACACTCTTACCTGCAAGAACTCAGTGCCTGTGTTGGAAACGGAAGAAGAGCCGAATCAGAAGCTGCCTTAAGCCAGGTGTGGGAGGGAAGAGAGAACTACCTACTGCTAACCCCGGGGATCGAGCTGTGACCTGGCCCTGCTGCCACCCTGGAGCCCTGGGATGTGAAGAGAGCTCTACAGAAGCATGCAACACTAGTCTTCTTTTTTTTTTTTAATTTTTTTTTTTTTTTAGATATATCTATCTATTTTCCAGTTTCATTTTGCAGAGCAGATGGAGGAAGTGGCTGGGGCCGGTGACAGCGTCCTCTGATCCTTCCTCTCATGGCCGCTCGCGCGCGGAGTTGTGCCAACAACAGGTAGCACTTGGCAGCTGGCTACAACCAGAGCCTCTCTCCAGAGCTCACAGCAGCATCTGGGTTTTTTGCAACACAAGATGGATGATATTTATGCAAATCCTCCCTCCCTCCGTTCTCTGTGCCGCCTCCTGATCCCACCTCCTCCTCCCGCCCCCCTCCTCCCCGAGCTTTCAGACGTGCACTGAAATTGGCTGTGCTTCAGTTCTCTGCGGGTCAGTGACTGGTCCCCCTTGCCCACCTACTCAGAAAAAAAAAAAACAAACGCTCTCTCCTGGTTTTTAATTTACCTGGGCAACAGGAACTGCAGTTCTGGGGAGGGGGGATTGAGCAATCACACCTCAGGGGAGCACATCCCCCCCTTCAAGCCAAGGGGTTCTGCCAGGGGGCAAAACGCAAACAAGAAACAAAACCCACCCAAATGAACCACGTTGACTTTGCCCTGGAGTATTTTAAGTGCGTATTATGAAAAGAAAATATTTTTATGGATTCTTATTCTTTTATAATTATGAGTGTTAAGATGTAGCGACTCATTAAAATATTGGAAAGAGACGTGGTGGTGCTTTGGGGGGGGCGGGAGGGAATGGCAGCTGCTCCCACAGCCAGAGTGGCTCTGGTGAAAGCCAAGTGCTCTGTTCCTTTCTGTGCCGAGCAGTGGAGAGAATATTAAATCCCCTGATGTTCCTCGGGGGAAGCACAATCCCAGCAACTGAGGACTGGGAATCCTGGGCTGTGTTCCTGGCTGGGGGTGGGCACCTCACCCCACACCCCACATCCCTCCCGTGGGATTTAGGGGCTCTGATCCCACGCTGGATCCCACAGGAGCTGCTTTTTGCAGAGCTGGGCCTGCCTCTGCTCGCCCTCAAAGCTTCCCAAACCTGGCCTTGCCTCCTCCACGGGAGCCAGGCATTAATTAGCCCTCTGTTAATGCCCTGAGGATGCTGCCTGAGGCTTGTTTTAAATGCAAAGCTTCTTACAGCTGGAGCATTTTGTCTCCTGAAGACAACTGGGAGCACATCTCCCCCTCCCCGACCCCTTCTTGTCCCCGTGCCCAAATAATTGTCCCGATTCTTGCAGTTTGTTGTTTGGCTTCTACAACCCAGCCCCGGATGCGGGTTTTGAGGTCGGAGGGGCGGAAGGAGGGACGTGATGGAGGGAAAGTTGCAGCTCTCTTGAAGGGTCTTTAAGAGCAACCTGCAGCCAGCAAAGCTGCTCCCCCCCTCCCTGCCACCCTCACAGCCGGGTGGGTGCCTGAGGATGGTAAGAAGCTTTATTTTTGCAGGGGTTGTTGCTTTCCAGTCTTAATTTAAACTGCTTTTTTCCTGTCCCCGAAAAGCCAAGTGTTTCTTAAAATGTCTTTAAAACGCTCTTGTCTAGAAGAGTTTGCAGATCTGTCGGCTCCTCTGATCCCCCCCAGCTCGCTGCAGGATTGTTTGGAGCCCTAAAGAGGGGTTGCTTGTCTCCTTTTGGGGGGGCTGAAGAATCCCGAGAGGAATTAAGTGGGAAATCTGCCTCCCGCAATCCTGAGCTATTCCATATGGAACAGGCTCTGTCGGGGGATTGAAATACAAATGATGTGGGAGGTCCCCGCCCCGACATCCCGAGGGAAAGGTAGTGGGAATAGGGAGCAGCTGGGTGTGCTGGGTGGAGGATTTGCAGCTGGAGGATGAAGTTGAGATAATTTCCTGAGCAGTAACGACGGGGAGGAAGCGGCGGGTGCTGGGGAAACTGGGCAAAAACGACTCTTCCTCAAGAATTTGGGACTCGAGAGCGGCTCGGGAGGCATTTCTCCCGCAAAAACCCGCCCTGCGGGGCTTTATTTTTAGGTGGAGGACGTGGAGGGAGAACAGATGTTCTCGAGGGCTTATTTTTAAAACAAAACTCGCTCCTCGAGCTACAGAATTAGCTCAGAAAAGTCACTCCTTGCCCTGAAAGATGCTCTCACGGAAAACTCCCCGGCATCTCCATTCCCAGAGCGGGCGGGATAAAGGTGCGACGGCGGCTCTCGCTCTCGGAGAGCCACGTCAGTGGAAACTCTGGGGGGCTGGGGGTGTCTCAGGCATTTGATCTCTGGCCTGGGCCGTGCAGGCAGCACCCCCAAAATACCTGGAGTGGCTCAGAAATCCCAGGGTCCCCCAGAGGGAGATGTGGAGTATCCAGGGAAGGCACAGGGGGCTGTGGTGGAAGGGGCTGGGCTGGGCCGGGCCGTGTGTGTCTGTGCTGGCCGAAAGAAAGGGTGTAAATTGATCTTGGAAAATCCTCACGGAGGGATTTTGGTGGAGCACGTCCACACAGGCACCCCAGGACAGATGGGAGGCTTCAGGCCTGGGTGTGGAGCAGCAGCTTCTCAGCCTCTGGAGAGAAACCTCCTCTCTCTGGTTCCATCTCCAGCCGCTCTCTTGGAGGCTGGTGCGGATTTCTGGGGCATTTCCAGTGAAAACAGCTCCATCCAGTTGGGTCATCGCAGCTCCTGCTCTGCTGGGCTCTGCCTCGGGTCCCAAAGCCTCTCTGGGTTGGAGCTGGGATCGTGGAATCACAGAATGGTTGGGGTTAGAAGGGACCCTGGAGATCCTCTTGTTCCCCCCTTGTGTTGGGTTGTCCCCCGTGAACACACAGACCCTGCTCCAGAGGGGTCCAGACATGACCCCTTGTCCTTTTGCTTGGGGCCCCATCCTGCTGGTGCTGAGTTCCTGGGGAGGGTCATTCACCCTGCTCCTTGGTGGTGCTGGGAGAGACGGTGTGGGAAGGGCAAAAAAGAGGGACAATCCAGTGGTGGAGGAAACCAGCGGGATTTTGCACATAAGGAACAGGGAGAGGCCGTGGGGTGCTCGGGGGGACAACCAGCCCCATCCCTGCCGCCCTCGCTGCCCTTCTGCCGGGATTTGCCTCCTCCCACCGTCCAGGCTCTGCTCTCTCCCAAAGCTGCTCCTTCCTCTCCCAGAAAGGACAGTTAAATGCCACCCAAAGGGCGGCTGAGACCTCCTAAAGCTCCTGTTAAACAGCAGCGAGGCCGCTCAGGAGCTGACCCAGCTGATGGAACCAACTCTTCCCTCTGGCTCGGCCGCTCTGTTTGCCTTTCCCTGCCTCCCCCCTCTCCTCTAATCCAGGCTGGAACTGCTCCCAGGGCCCAGCCTGGGGCTCTCCTGACCCCGCTCTCGCCGTCCCCCCAGCTGGGAGCCCTGGCTGTGACTCTGGGGGTGCTGCTGGCCCTGCTGGGCTGCGCCGCCGCCCCGGATCCCGCCCTGGAGGAGGCCTGGGAAGAGTGGAAGAGTCTCCATGCCAAGGAGTATCCAGGGGTAGGTCCTGCTGCCCTCAAACCTCCCAGCACGTGCTGAGGTCGGTTCTGGAGGATCTCACCCAGAGCCGCCCGTGTGCACCCACATCCTGTGTGTCCCCACGCTCCCAGGGGACATTCCCGATCCTTCTGATCCTTGTGGCAGGAGGATGAGACCTTCCGCAGGCAGATCTGGGAGAAGAACCTGCACCACATCCAGCAGCACAACTGGGAGGAGGCGCAGGGGAAGCACAGCTACCGCCTGGCCATGAACCACTTCGGGGACCTGGTACCTGCTGACACCTTCCCTGGGGACCCTTCGGAGCACCCAGGGCTGGATCGGGGGATCAGAGACCTCTTGGGCCACCCAGGGCTTGATCTGGGGATTGGGGACCCCTCAGTGCACTCCAAGCTGGATCAGGGGATCAGCAATCCCCTGGGGCACCCAGGGCTTGATCTGGGGGATCAGAGACCTCTTGGAGCACCCAGGGTTGGATCTGAGGATTAGGGATCCCTCAGTGCACCCAGGGCTTGATCTGGGGATTGGGGACCCATTGGAGCACCCAGGGCTGGATGTTGGGATCAGAGACCCCCTGGTGTACCCAGGCCTTGATCCAGGGACTGGGTACCCCCAGCCTGTTCCACAGGGAGCTGCAGGTGCCTCTGGGGCCGGGCTGCTTCCTGGGGGTCAGTGGCTGGTGGGGCCCTGTGGTGCTGCCAGGGGGGCACCCTTGGCATCCCACGGGTTTTCCTTTGGTGACCTGCAGACAAACGAGGAGTTTAAGCGGCTCCTGAACGGCTTCATCCCAGCGCAGCAGGAGGAGCCAGGGCGGGTCTTCCGAGCCTCAGAGACCCTGAAGACCCCAGTGAGAGTGGACTGGCGGGCCAAGGGCTATGTGACACCCGTGAAGAACCAGGTGGGCACAGGGTGGGGGGTCTGACCGGGGCTGTGGGAGTCTGGGCAGCAGAATCGAGCAGCAGCATCCTCCCAATCCCCCCAAATCCTCTGGACAACCCTAAGGAGCAGCTCCCGTAGTTTTGGCCATGGTGACTTTGTAGCTGAGACCAGCACTGGGGGGGCCACAGCATCCCTGCCTGGGGGGTTTTGGGGCAGTGCTGTGACCCCCTCCTTGCGGTTCCCACCTCACCCAGGGGTTCTGCGGGTCCTGCTGGGCGTTCAGTGCCACGGGGGCCTTGGAGGGGCTGATGTTCAAGCGGACGGGGAAGCTGGTGGTGCTGAGCGAGCAGAACCTCATCGACTGCACCCAAAAGCTGGGCAACCGCGGCTGCTGCGGTGGCCACATGGAACAGGCCTTCCAGTACGTGCACGACAACGGCGGCCTCAACTCGGAGCGTGTCTACCCCTACGTGGGCACGGTGAGGGACAGCGGGGCACCCGGGGCAGGGCAGAGCAGTGCCGGCGTGTCCCGGCCGTGGTGACACCCTCCCGCTCTCAGGACAACTCCCGCTGCCGATACAACCCCCGGGACAAGGCGGCCAACTGCTCCGGCTTCGTGAGGGTGGCACAGGGCAGTGAGGAGGCCCTGGCGCAGGCGGTGGCCACCGTGGGCCCGGTGTCGGTGTCGGTGGATGCCAGCTCCTTTCGCTTCTACAAGTCGGGTACCGTGTGCTCCCTGTGGCGTGGGGGGGTGAACTGAGGCAGGGCTGGGCTGCTGAGCTTCCCCAGGGGAATGGGACCCACCACCCCGAGGAGAAGGGAGCAGGGCCAGCCCCCGGCTCAGCACAGCTCTGCTCTTCCCAGGCATCTTCGGCTGCGGCTCTGGCAGCTGGAGAACGAACCACGCCATGCTGGCCGTGGGCTACGGCACAACCCGGATGGGTGGGCACAACCTCAGCTACTGGATCCTAAAGAACAGGTGAGGGCTGAGCGTGTCCCCCCAAACCCGCTGCCCCTCCCGCCCCCACACCACAGAATCGTGGGGTTATCTAGGTCGGAAAAGCCCTCTAAGATCAACCACTAACCCTGCTCTGCCAAGGCCAGCACTAACCCGTGGCCCCGTCCCATGGGGCCTCTGGGGGCTCTGGTTCTCCTCCTTGTCTCTCCTCGAGCCAGGGCTGTTCCCTGTGCCTGGGATCAAGGAGGAGCTCACTCCTGTCTTTTCCTGCAGCTGGACAGAGAGGTGGGGAGAGCAGGGCTACATGTTCCTGCTGAAGGACGCCGGCAACCAGTGTGGGGTGGCCAACCAGGCCAGTTACCCCCTGCCCTGAGCCAGGAGAGCCCCCCCCCCGCCCCAGCTGAGCTCCCACGGCTGTTTCCTTCTGGAAATGGGGCTTTTCTTCGAGTGCAGCAAGAAGCAATTAAAAGTGGCATGGTTAATTGTCCTTGTCTTGGAATCCATGTGGAATGGTTTGGGTTGGAAAGGACCATAATGCTCATCTTGTCCCCATGGCCCCCTTGTCCCCCTGTTCCCACAGCCCCCTGTCCCACTGTCCCCCTTGCCCCCTGTTCCCACAGCCCCCTGTCCCTGTGGTCCCTTGTCTCTGTAGTCCCCTGACGCCACAGCCCCTTGTCGCGGTGTTCTCCTGTCCGTCCCCACAGCCCTCCGTCCCCTTGTCCCCTGTCCCCGTGTCCCCCCAGGTTTCCCCTGCCCACACCCCTTGCCCTCACCCAACATGGCGGCCATGGCGCCGCCGCCGCCGCGCGCTGACCCCTCCCGCCCGCCGTAGCCTGCGCTTCCTTTCCAAGATGGCGGCGCCCACAGGGAGGAGCGGCCGGCGGGCGTGGGCCGCGCTTGTCCCCGCTGCCCTGCTATGCCTGGCGGCCCGGGCGGCCGCGGAACCGGGCGCGGAACCGGGCTCGGTCGGGTTCGACGTGCGACCCGGCGGAGAGGTTCACTCCTTCTCCCGGAGCCTGGTGAGCAGTCGGCAGGGAGGAGAGGGAGGGAGCGGGTGCGGAGAGGGGTACGCGCCTCGCGCTGATTGGCTGTGAACCACGTCGCTCACGCCTCCCGCCGCGGGGATTGGCTGGATGCGAAGGGGGGGGCGGGACCAGTGTGGGGGGTCCGGGTGGGTGTTTGAGGGAGGGGATCCCGGGGGAGGGAGGGCACCAAGGGGGGCTGCAATGGCCGGGGGGGCACAGGGAGAGGGGGGGGTCCCCAGGGGGAGGGGGGGCACCAAGGGGGGCTGCAATGGCCGGGGGGGCACAGGGAGAACGGGGGGGCGGGTGTCCTCGGGGGGAGAGGGGGCACCAAGGGGGGCTGCAATGGCCGGGGGATCCCCGGGAGAAAGAGGCACCAACAGGGGCTGCAATGGCCGGAGGGAGCCCAGGAGAAGGGGAGACCCCAAGATGGGGGTTCTTCAAGGAGAGAAGAGTCCCCAAGGGGGGCTCCAAAGGCAGGAGGAGCCCAGGGCAAAGGGGGGTCCCCAGTGGATCGGGAGGTTTCCAAAGGGGCAAGAGGGAGGGTCCCCATGAAAAAGGGGGTCCCCCAGGGGTCCTCAGGGAGGGGCTCTAAGGGCAAGGGATGCCATGGAAGAGGGGGGATCCACAGGGGAGGCTCCTGAGGCAGGGGGATCCCACAGAGAAAGGGGGTCTCCAAGGGAGGGTGCATCTCCAGAGGGGCTGGGGAGGGGGTCCCCAGGGAGGAGAGGGGACCACGAGGAAGGGAACCTCCAAAGGCAGGAGGCTCCCAGGGAGAAGAAGGGTTCCCTATGGAGAGAGGGAGCCCCCACAGAAATGGGGGTCCCCAAGGACTTGGGGTTCCCCCAAGTGGGGGTCTCCAGCAGAAGGAGGTCCCCAAGGTGGGACAGTCTCTGCAGCGAGGAGGTCCCCAGGGAAGGCAGCCTGCCATGGATAATGGTCCCCAAGGGCGGGTTTCCAAAGGGATGAAGTATCCCAAGGGCAGGGAGGGGTTGCCAAGGGAAGGGGGTCTCAAAGAAAGAAAGTCCCCATGGGGAGGAGGCTCAGCAAGGAGAAGGGGCTGCAGGTCCCTGGGCCCCCCAGGACACGAGTCCTCACCCCAAACCCCGGACGAGAGGGAGCGGCTCAGGGGAGGTTTAGTTGGATATTAGGGAAATTTCTCCATGAGAAGGGCTGTCCAGCCCTGGCACAGCTGCCCAGGGCAGTGGTGGAGTCCCCACTCCTGGAGGGATGTAAGAGCTTGGTGGATGTGGCACTTGGGGACGTTGGGTTGGTGTTGGCCTTGGCAGTGCTGGGGGAATGGTTGGACTCGATGGTCTCGGAGGTGTTTTCCAACCTGAAGAATTCCTTGATTCTGTGGAAGAGAGGGTCCTGCTTAAGCTCACGTCCCTCTCTCCTGGCAGGGGGATTACAGCTGCACCTTCACCTACTCATCCCAGGGAGGGACCAACGAGGTGAGCTGGGCAAACCCTGCCCTTCCCCAGTCCCAGTCCCTGCACGGAGGGGGGAAACCGGTTTCCTTTGGGAAGAGCTGATTCCAGGGACAGGGAGCTGTGGGGAAGGGTGGTTGCACCTTTTCCAGCACTGTGTGGAACGTGTTGGATTTGCTCCCTGCACCAAAAGTGTCCTTTGTGTGTTGTAAGGAGACTGTGACAAGGGTCTGGAGGGACAGGACACAGGGAATGGCCTCCCACTACCAGAGGGCAGGAATAGATGGGATACTGGGCAGGAATTCCTCCCTGGGAGGGTGGGGAGGCCCTGGCACAGGTTGCCCAGAGAAGCTGTGGCTGCCCCATCCCTGGAAGTGTCCCAAGGCCAGGTTGGAGCAACCTGGGATAGTGGGAGGTGTCCCTGCCCGTGGCAGGGGGTGGAATGGGATGAGATTTAAGATCCCTTCCAACCCAAACCAGTCTGGGATTCTGTGACTTAACAAATCTCCGTGCTGGATGTCTCTGGAGAACTGGGAGTGACGTTTTCACACCCCAGTTGGTGGGAAGGACCTTGCAGGAGTAACTCCTGCCTCCTCTGGGAGGCTGGAAGGTTTTTTGGTTGTACTTTGTTATCAGCAAACCCTGTCTCAACCAGGTCCTCATTTTTTAGCCTAAAAGGAAATAAGACTTTTAAACTCTTTTCTGTGACAGCACTGATGGGATTGTGGAGAGGACAGAGAGCCACCAGGCCCTGAGCTTGGTGCCAGAGGGACTGTTGTGTTATTTTAGGGCTGCTGGAGCTCATCCTTCAGCTGGAGGGGGGGTCAGTGGCCCCGGGGCCGTGCAGGGAGCACGAGGCTCTTCCCCCCAGTGACTGTTTGGACCTTTCCCTCTGCAGCAATGGCAGATGAACGTTGGGATCAGCGAGGACAACGGGCTCTTCTCCTGCTCCATCTGGAGGTTTGTTCTGTGTAACCTCAGCCAAAGCAGCAGCCAGGCAGGGGGGATGTGGGACAGGGATTCTGCTTCCCAGGTGGATTTGCCTCCCAGCAGGGAGGGTTTTCCTCTCCCAAGGGGTGCTGTGGCTCTGCTGGGCTCTTCTCCCAGCGTTGGTTTATAAACATTCTGTGTCCCCCTCTCCCACCCTCAGCGCTGGATGGAGCTGCAGGAGATCCAGAGGTGGCTGTGGAGGGAGGGAGGGAGGGAGCTGGGAATCCTTCACTCCTCTGCACCTCCACCCTCTCTGCCGCTGACAAAGGCTCTGCTTTCTTGTTTCAGGCCCCAGGGGAAGTCTTATCTCTTCTTTACCCAGTTTAAAGCTGAAGTGAAAGGAGCCAAGATAGAGTATGCCATGGCTTATGTAAGTCCCAGCTGATCCCTGGGAAGCAGGAGTGTGGGAGGCTGCTATAAAACATGAATTAGGCACGGAAAACATTTATTAGACATCTGTGCAATGAAATGTGCTCCAGCACGTCCCGAATTAGAGACTGGTGGCAGGCAGGAGAGGGGCTGCAGGTGGGCTCCTCTGCACCACTGTGTTTCTGCCCCCTCAAATCCGTGGGTTTGCTGGGAAGGGGGGGCTCCAAAAGGCACAGCACAGCGGGAGTCTTGGATCACCTCAACAAATCGCGTGTGACAAAGTAAATAAAACCTCTCTGGGTGGTTTTGTCTGGCTCCTTCTTCCATTTCCCAGCCTTTAGGGGTGAGGTTTTCCATCACCCCAAGGACACCAGTCTGTGCTTTAATAGGAAATGGAAAAACAGGCAGAGATTTTCCTGCAGATTTCCTTCGTGGACGTAATTCTTTCGCTCCACACAGCTCACAAATCCGTTCTTTTTTTTTTTATTATTTTTATTTTTTTCCCCCCAAAATGTGCTGCTGTTTGTTCGGTTTGAAGGCTGTAACTCCTTGGATTGCCTCAACCCTCTCACACCTTCTTCCTTCCTGTTTCAGTCTCAAGCTGCTGTGGGTGCCCAGAACGACATCCCCTTAAAACAGGAAGAGTTTGAAGTCACCGAAACAACAGGTCTGTGACCGAGGGAACCGTGTGAGGAAGGGGGTGCTGTGGGAGGCAGTTTAAGCTTCAATCCCATACACTGACAGGTGGCAACGTGTGGGAGGACAGTGCCAGGGGTGCAGTGCTCTGGAGAACTGGCAGCAGGGGTTTGGGGCTCCCATTCCAGCTCAGGGAGGTGGAGGAAGGAGGGTTTATCCCACCAGCCTGTCACGTGCAGGAGGAGGAAGTTCAGTGCCCAGACTCGCTGCCTTCCCCACCCTGGAAGGGACCCAGCAGGGCTGTTTTGTTCGTGCCTCTGTGCTTTTTTTGGGCTGTTTTGTTTGTGCTTTCCCATCTGTTGATCCTGTGCTTGTTCTCTCTCTCTCTCTCCCTCTCTCTCCAGTGTCTCACAGGGAAGGCAAGTTCCGTTCTGAACTGTCCAAGCTCATGATTGTAGCAAAAACACCCCGTGACGAGCTGTGACCCCCGAGGCCAGCCCTGGGCAGGGTGTTTTGGCCAGAAGGACGTGGCAGGAAAAGAAGATTCCTGGTTTAAATGAGGGGTTTTTTTTTTGTTTTTCTTTTTGGGGTTGGCCAAACTTTCCTGTTTTTCAATACTGAAACGTGCTGGGGTCCGACACGAGTGGGGCTTGGAGGTGTGAGAGGGCACATTTAATTCTGTCTTGTGTCAGAGTAACAACGTGCTTTTGCAGCTGGAAACCTCCCTGGAGATTCCTGATCCACAGGCAGCCATTCTGGGCCCTCCTCCTGCTTGGCTGATCTGCTGAATGTGGCACAGGGGGCTCCTTATCTCCCTTGCTGGGAAGAGCAGTGCAGGAAGATAAGTGAGTGGCTGGATTTAAGCAGGGTTTGCTGAAGGGAAGTTGTTAACTCTGTAGCCTCTGGAGGGGAGATGGGATTTCTCCCTCCACCAGCGTGGCAGGAGGAAATAATTCATTTAGGGAGGAGGAGAGGATGGAGTTGGCCAAAGCTCTCTTGAGACTCTTTATGGAGAGATCATCCCTGGGGTGGATGCCCTGGACCTGCCAGAGCTGGGCTGGGATGGCTTGGATGGGGGGGAAGGCAGAGCAGCTTATTCTGACACAACCAGGAATCAATCCAAGCAGCACTTCCACGTCTCAGCACAACCACAAGACTGTTTTATACCTACAGGAAAAGTGATTTTTTTTTTTTTCTTATCTAGAGTAATAACAGGGAATGTGCAATCCCTTTCCTGTGTAAATCCAGCACAAATAAAGCAATGAAGCAGCGTGCTCTGGCCTGAGGTTGCTCTGCTCTCTCACTCCTGCCCTTCCCAGCTGGATGGACCTTCAGGGTTTGCTCAGCCAGGAGGAGCCCACGGGAATTTTGGGGGGCTGCAGAGGGTTTGTGGGGGTTCTGCCCAGCCAAAGAGAGCCCCAGCATGTGACAACAAGGCTGCAGTTGTCAGTTTGCACTGTCACCTTTGATCCCTTTTGATGGTTGTGATCACTGGTAGGTGCTTTGCCCATTTTTGGGGCAGTTCCCTGTTTTTTTGTCAGTCTGGGTGTGCTTTGCACTGGGAGTTTTACAAGCTCTGCTCTCCAGGCTGTTCTGAAATGCATTTTTCTCCTCTGTGTGTCACTTTATGGACCTGTGGGTGACCTGCAGGGCCCAGGAGTGTCCCCAGTGTGCTCCCCCCTGTGCTCTGAGCTGCATTTTGCAGGTCTCTGACCCTTCTGCTGTTTAAACCAGTCACTTGGAGGGAACCAGAGCAAAGGGACTCATTTCCCAGGGTTGGGATGGGAAACCCAGGCTGTGAGATGGTTCTTCTGGCAGAGAATCTGCTCTCCAGGGCTTCCCTGGGACAAAAAGGGAAGGATTTGGGGGTGAGGTGAGTGTTTGCTGTGGGGGAGAAGGCTCAGCTTAGACACCTGGATGTGAAGAGAAGCTGGTGCCAGGAGTTTGGGGGGGTTAAGTGTGGGCCTGGGGTGTAGGAAATCATGGGGACAAAGGGAACAGCCATGAGTGGGGCTCATGTGACCAAGGAGCTGGCACCAAAATGCACCTCGAGAAGAGACCAGCAAAGCATTTCTGGCTGCCAGCGTGTCCCTCAGCCCCATCTCACCACGTCTGCCCGTGGTTTCCAGCTCTGGCTCCTCTCCAGCACACACCTGACAGCTGCCACCAGCTCAGGGAGCACAGGAATTGTTCTCAGAGGCCACTTCCCCCTGGTACCAACACCCGGATGGGTCCTGTGAATGTGCTTTACCCCCACCCCGAGCTGTGCCACGCAATTATCTGTGACTGCTGGAGCCAGGGCTGTGAAATGACAGAGATGGGGGGCTTGATTTCTCTTTATTTATAATCTTTTAAGGCTGAAAGTTATCAGTGCCTGGAGCCAGCAGTGGGGAGGGAGCGGCGAGCGGGAGCCCCGGAGCCGCTCCGAGCTCCGGCAGCCGCCCGTGCCCGGACACATCCCACGGAACAGGAGGCACAAGAAGGTCGTGGAGATAAGGCCAGCTGGGACTGTGTGGTGCCTTGTGTGCTAAAAGGGCAGTTTTCAGTGTTCAGAGCAGAGATTGTCGTGCTGGGAGCGGCGGCAGCCGGCGCGTCCCCGCTCCGAGAGTTCCAACTCTGCGGAGTCACCCACGGCCTCCTGCTGTCAGGGTTGTGCTTTTTGGCTCCTGCTGAGCAGCCAGGGGATGTGGGGATGCAGAGGAGCACGTGTGGGTGTCTGCTGGGTGCAGGATTGCACAGAATCTCGGAATGGTTTGGGTTGGAGGGGCCTTAAAACTCACCCACTGCCACCCCCTGCCATGGGCAGGGACACCTTCCACTGGTTGCTCCAACCTGGCCTTGGACACTTCCAGGGATGGGGCAGTCACAGCTTCTCTGCCCAACCTGTGCCAGGGCCTCCCCACCCTCACAGCCAGGAATTCCTTCCCAATATCCCATCTAAATTTCCCCTCTTTCACTTTGAAGCCATTCCCTGTGTCCTGTCCCTCCATCTCTTGTCCGAAGTCCCTCTCCAGCTCTTCTGGAACCCCTTTAGGCCCTGGAAGGGACTCTAAGGTCTCCCTGGATCCTTCTCCAGGCTGAACACCCCCAGTTCTCTGCTCCCCCCAGGATCCCAGACCTTTGCTGCTGTTTTATGCTGGGTTTAACACCCCGTTTGTTCCACTGGTTCAGCTCTGGCCATGAAAATCCAGGAGCTGCTGTGCCACGGAGCAGGGACAGCCCAGCCAGGGAGCCAGGGAGTACAAACCCCAGGTCACAGAGAGCCACCACCATCCAAAGGACAAACCCAGCTGTCCCCAGGGCTCATTTCATCGCTGTCACCCACCGCTGGAACAACCCCAAGGAGCTCCCAGGCCAAACAGGTGAGTTTATTTAAATAACTCATCAGGGCTACAGAGTTTGCTAAAAAAAGAACAACCATCACTCAGACAAAGTGGAAAATGGATGAAATCCCACGGAGAACTTCGGAGAACCACCGAGGGCGGCGTCAGAGCCGTGACAGTCATGGGAGGCTGGTGGGGAGCTGGGGCTCAGATGGTACCTGGGATGCAGGGAAGGAGCAGCTCCCTTGTCCAGGTGAGGTGGGATCCTCCTCCTCTCAGGGACTTGTCTTTGAGGAGAGCAAAGCCCACACCTTCCCATCCTGGGCAGCAACACTCTGCACCATGATTTGCTCCCACGGTGTTATGGAGCTGCTGAAGGAAAACCACGGAGCCCCACAACCCTCCAGGAAGGGGGTCTCACAACCAGCAACATCCCACCTGCTCAGACACCCCTTTCAGAGGTGTTACACACCACCAGGCTTCGCTTTGGTTTTCCCCCCAGAGGGTTACGACAGAGTTCAAGGCTCAGAGTCCTCGGACTCTGAGCTAAGGACACTTGGTGGGCAAAGGAAATCAAACTGTACAGCAGGAGCCCAAAATCCCAGGATCCCCCAGAGAGGACTCGGCCCAGCGCAGGGAGGGCTTTGAAGCCCCCTGGGCAAGGGGTGGGCAAAAGTCAAGATGTCCAGTCTCCTGTAGAAACGAGGGGAAAACGAGCGAGCGCTGCAGAGGAGGAGGAGGGGCCGTCGAGCCTGGCGGTGCTCAGAGCAGGCAAACAGCCCCACTCCGCCCTCCCAGGAGGCAGAGCCCAGCTGCCAAGAGCCTTCAGATGTTGTCCTCCTCCAGCATCTTGTTGACCCCCTCGCAGATCCTCTGCAGGTGGGTGCGGTAGGGCTCGGAGGGCCCGTAGAGCGCCGACAGGAACTCGTAGTCCGCAAAGTGGTTGAAGACGTGGTTGATGCGGGAGTGGGACTTGGCCGTCAGGTGCCCGTTCACGGCCTGGTGCAGCAGGTCCCGGCACTCCAGGAGCACCCCCGACATGACCCTGCGGTCGAAGGTGAAGTCTATCTGGTGGAAGCTGACGGCCGTCATGGCCAAGGTGTGGACCTTCTTGCGGAACCGCTCCATCACCAGCAGCTCCTCGGGGCTGAACTGCCCGTTGCGGTACAGCACGCCCAGCTTCATCACGATCTTGATGAGGTTCTTGATGATCTTCTGGGCCTCCTTGCGGTTGTGGGTGTACTCCTTGGTGGCCCGGTACAGCTCGTCCAGGATCTCGCTGCTGGTGTCGTCGATGAAGACGTTGGCGATGGTTTTGGTGGCCATCTTGCTCAGGAGCTTCTTCTGGGCCTGCAGGGCCAGGTTCTTGGTGCTGAAGGTGTCCATCTCTGTGAGGGCAAGAGGCACATGGGGGTCAGACCACACTCTGCGCTCATCCCCACACCACCTGCAAGCTGGGCTAGTGGGAGGTGTCCCTGCTCATGGCAGGGGGTGGAACAGGCCTGGGCTTTGAGGTCCCTTCCAACCCAAACCACTCCATGGCTCTATCATTCCTCACCTTCCCACGCAGCCTTTTGGCAGGAGAAAAAGCACCTCCAGCCAACAGCCAGACCGAGGCAGCTGCTGGGTGCCAGGGCAGGCAAGAGCTGAGCTCACACCCCGGCTCTGGATGGTGGGATGAGCTGAGGGGTGTTCCCACCTTCCCTCTCCCAAACCCCTGTGGAGAACCAACAGCGAGCGAGGCGTCCCTACCTGAGCACCGCCCGTGACCCTCCATCCCCGGCTCCCTCCTGCGCCCGGTGCCGCCCCGCTCCCGGGGCAGGAAGGGCTCTTGCCCCATCCCTTCAACATTTTTCCTTCCTTAAACCCTGACTCACTTCCTGCGGGGTGAGCCGGGGACAGCCCAGGTGACAGCTGAGTCACCCCCGCGGCCTCGTGCCGCATCCACCCCGGCGCTCGGCGGGGCCGGAGCGGCGCGGCCGGTTTGCGGCACCCGCTGATTTCTGTGGGAGCCCTTCTCCCTGGCACTGCCCTGATCCACCCACACGAGCTCGGACTTGTTCTGCCGCTGCCTCGGCTCCCTCCGGCGTCGCACGGAGGTGAATAATTCAGCGAGACACAGCCCTCACCTACAGCCCTCACCTACAGCCCTCACCTACAGCCCGGCTCCCGCGTCCCGGCGGGACCAAATCCATCACCTCGGGCAGATCGCGGCTCTCGAAGCCGCCGTGACGGAATAAAACTGGAGCTGCCGACCCTGGAGAGGCGCCTTGGCCCGGGGAAACCGCAGAGCTACAAATCACCGGGAGGCGAGAACAGCGGGAAAACAACCGGCTCCGGAGCCAGGATGGATGGGCAGAGCTGGGGCTGCTTATGCAAGAGGCTGCACATGGCATGGACAGCCTGGCAGAGCGAGAAGGGATGGGCTCAGGCTATAAATACATCCCCTGGGAGGGGAGAGGAGATATTTCAGCTAAAGGAGGCTGCCGGTGTGAGGATGGATGGGGATAAATTGGCCACGGATAGAGAGCAGGTTTAGATTGGATATTAAGAAGAAATCCTTCCCTGGGAGGGTGGCAGGACCTGGCACAGGTTGCCCAGAGAAGCTGTGGCTGCCCCATCCCCAGAATTGTCCAAGGCCAGGTTGGAGCAACCTGGGCTGGTGGAAGGTGTCCCTGCCCAAGGCAGGGGTGGAACTGGATGGGCTTTAAGGTCCCTCCAACCCAAACCATTCTGGGATTCTGGTGCAGAACTGGGTCTGTCCCCACCACAGGAAGCTCTGTGTCTCCCCTAGGCCAAGCTGCCACCCAGTCCCAGACCCCTTTGGAGATCTCCAATCCTGCTCCTACCACTCTGGAGCACACACCAGGCTCTCAGGAGCAAATCCCAGCTCCCTGTGGAGCCAAGGCTCACCCAGCCAGTTGTGCAAGGACAACTGTGATGGGCCCCGACTCCCTG